GGTGTTAGTGCAGCTCTCCAGTGTATGGAGAGGTGCTGAAAACAACAGGTGAAGCAGTGCCCCCAGAAAAGGGAATGCACCCTTTGGCTGTCCTTTGGATCCCAACACACTGTCCCAGCAGCCTAAGTCCTTCTAAACCCGAAGGGAAGTGTGACAGGTCCTCAGCAGACATGCAAACAAAGCATAAAGGCACAGGGTAAGTACAAGTATGCACACACCATGTCTCGCTGCCAGAGGAAGCCATGCCCACTTATTTGTATTCTGAAACCCAGAGGCCCAGTATCTTTAAACATTAACTTCAGTGGAGGGGTTTTTTTTTGTTAGAAATGAAACAGCCCTTTGTTTTTTACCAAGATTTGTCCAGTTTGCCTGTTGGCTTTCTTTCCTGTTGGTTTTCTTTCCTTTTAACTAAATTAAAGATTCTTGTTCCACAGGTGTAGCACAGCATTCACATTAACTTGTAATGAATGCTTAAAATGGAAAAACAGAAAAACCCAAACCAATACTCTTTGCTCTGTTGAGTTCTCAACACACTTCCATAATTTTAGTACTAAGCACACTACATAATTTTAATACTAAGCACTAAGTTGTGCAGGCTATGCTTAAAGGCTGCATGGCAATAAGATGAACAAATTATGAAATGAACTAAGCATCTGAGCTAGTAAATAAAGGAAAGAAAAATTGTCTTTATGGTATCAAAATGACAAGGTAAAACAACAGTTAAAAGAATCCAAAGGAAAGCAAAAAACCTTGGGGGAAAAAATCAGAGCTGACATTAAAACTCACCAATCCCCCAGCTGTTAGAAAAATACAAAAATTAATCACTTGAGGATTAAAGTGGTGGTATTTGGGAAAACCCTGATAAAAATGTTGATGAGGGAGAAGAAGTCTCTGATGAAATGACTGAACCTCTAGGTCCTCCTCTAAAAAGGAAGTGGTTCTAGAATTAAAAATGATACCCATAATTAAGATGGAAGTGTTCAAAGGACCTCAAGGAGGTCAATAAAAAACCATGCTCAGAACTACTCCCTGGGATGCCTTGCAAGTGGCAAACATACAGGAAAAATATGGATGAAAACCAGGGGAGTCAGAGACTGAGGATTTGTTGAGAGTAAGTCTCTCAGGAGCAAGTAGAATATTGCTGGATGGAAGTGAAGGTATGGATCAGTGAAAAATGCACTGTCTGTCCATTTTTGCCAACTAGAAGAGAAGAGGGAGACTCCTTTTCCCTGTGATGTTACTGGGGGATCTAGGAAAATCCTCCTGGGGAAAAAATTAATCATAAGAAATATTTCACTGCAAAAATTCTCAATTTTCTTGGGCTGTCTTTTCCTGATGAAAATCACTTTGCCAGGTAATTCAGGGCTGAAGATGAGAAGGAGTAAGAGAAGACAGAGAACTAAGAAATTCTGCAAAGAAAGGAGGTCATATGGTAAAATATTGACTCCATAACATCATTTTCATACACTGACGTAATTCAGCTTGCTAAAACAGATATTACATACAGAGGCATAAACATTCAAGTAGGGAAAGGCACAAGTATAACTATTTCATTGATTTCATTAAATTTTCCTGAATATTGCAAGGTTGGCATACTTTTAATTTTACTTCCATTAAAAGGCGTGCTTGGTCTCTCAGAGCCTTAATAAAATCTTCTTTCAACCTCTCTCCTTTCTCTACTACAACCTAAATTTCTACATGAGAAAAGGACCAAAATATGTAATTTACTACTTCCATATGCTGAAATTTGCACACACCATCCCCTTAATTTAGACCACTATTCACTGTATCATAAGGAACATTCTGCTAAAATATGTCTATCTAGAGCTCAGCAGTCTTTGAATGCTAGATAAAATCATTCCATAAGGCTAGATACTGGGAGCCAGGAGTCTTATTAAACCTAGGAGTGAGCCTATCAATCAACCCCATCCAATAATCCGCAGGGCTGCATATTGGGCAGGAGGAACAGAGGTCATGGAAAGAGCAGGACCAGCTTCCATACCCACGTGGTCATCTCATGAAATATTCACCACTATTTCAAGGCAATGTATGGACACTTAAACTGTGTCCCAATCTCCACAGAAGTCAATCCTGGTATGTTAAGACCTCTATTGAAAGAAGCCCTGATAACATGAAAAATGGTTTCAGTAGGGTGACAAGACCAAATAGAGAAGACAAAGGCAAGACAAAGAGGAGATGTAACGCATAGTGAAGTGTTACAAGATCCCCAAGATGACCTTTCCTCTTGGGCAAGACTCTTTCATGACACAGTAAACCACGCTAGGAAAATGGGCTGGGAAACTCCATCCCGGAGAAGAAACTTGGGCCTTTCAGAGGGGCCCAAAACCCCAAGTGCAAAGACTTCCTGAGTGCCAGGTGAGGGCTTTCAAACATACCTTGCCTGAGACAGAAGAAGGATCAAAACACCCCTGAAGCAAAATGAGCTGTGGAGGACAGCAGTAGCTTCAGGTACACCCCATGCAGCTCTCAGGCAGCAACCAGGGAACACTTAGTGAAAAGAGTGCAACGGGGACACGTGAAAAAAAACAAAAGCTTTCACAGAAAAAACATACCTGCAACCATTTGAGGAGAGGAAAAGAGAAACAAAAAACCTCACTAGGTACTGGGATAACTTTAGGCTTTATCACCTGCTGCATTATAGCTTATCAATTTACTTACCAGTAGGCCTAAAAAACATCCTTTGAAATAAGTGATTGATATAGGAGCTCAAATTTCATTGAACACCCCAAGGGATGCTGAGAAATTAAACATAAGTTTTAAAAGAAATAGGGACCAGACTTTATTGAACAAAGTAATTTATGTTTTACTGCCAAAGTCTGTTTATGTTTACCTGGGAAAAGACAATGGACCTCACACACTCTTGCAGTCACAGAAGAGGGAGAAAATACTTCAGGATACAATATCTTTAAAGGAGAAGTTTGGCAACTGCCTGATGGGAATATTTGATCATTCAGGCCCACAAAAAGTGGCCTGAAAAGAATGAGAAAATTTATTCAACATCAAATGGTTTTAAGCATGTACTGACAGGAATTAAATTGGTATCTGGACTGTTAGCTGTCACTAAAAGCAGGTATACTAATGCCAAAGCTGCTATTTCAGGGCTCTATAACTGCTTTTTCAGTCTTCCTGTTCCAGATTACACACAAATTGATGATGGATTACTCCTGACCAGCATGATGGTGCAGCACTGGGACAGAAAGGAGGGTATCAAAGGAATTTTTCATATTATTATGAAATTATTAATCTTATTATCCCCAAGCAAACAAGATGGGGGAACGTGCTGATGATTTGTTGATAAGCTACTTTACACTTCATGCATCTGGATGGGATAAAAGGCTTCCCTCTGTATTATATGAGATAGATAAATGACAAGGACCATGGTATAATGAGGACTTTGCAATGCTGACTTTCTGTCAAGGGCAGTCTTTGACAAGGAGGGTTGGCGGGGCAAGGGACACTCCCACAGCAGCATGGCTCACAGCTCCTACAGCCTGCCTGGCCTGAGCTTCAGGTCACTCCATCTTGAGGTGTGACCAGAACAGAATGCACAAAAGACAACAGCTTTGCAGGAGGTGACCATTGGAGTCATTGTAGGACCTTTTCTTTTAACCACTTCCCTACAAGCTACCAAAGTTCTGACTGCAGTGGAGCTCCCACACTCCACTGAGTGACTGAGTCAGAGGTGAGTGAAAAGTCTTTAATTTATCAGGAGTTAGAATCATAGAACAATTAAGGTTGGAAAAGACCTTTAAGATCATCAAGTCTAACTGTCAACCCAGTACCACCACCATGTTCACTGTTAAACCTTGTTCTCTAGTATGATATCCTTACTTTTTTTGAATATTTCCAGGGATGGTGACTCCACCACTTCCCTGGACAGCAGGTTCAATGTTTTACAATCCTTTCTGTGATTAAATTTTTTCCTAATAGCCAATCTATGCCTCCTCTGGTGCAACTTGAGGCCATTTCCTTTTGTCCTGTTACTTCTTACCTCAGAAGAGATTGAACCACACCTGGCTACAACTGTCCATTCCCACTTTTACTAACAGGTCTTTATACATGGAGGTAAAATAGAGGATTACAGAGCTTCTCCAAAAGAGCTTATACTAGACAATCCACTGCCTTGAAGAGCTTCTCCTAGTTATACAAGACCCACAAAGCATAGAAAAGCTGAAGCAAGAAGCAAACAGTCCTTCAATAAACTTAGAGGCTTTCCAACCAATTCTGTCAGCAGGTGGAGCAGCAACAGCATTACATACAGAGACATAAACATTTCCCTGTTTATGGTCTATCTGTCAAATATGGCTGTACATGCATACATGTGTAATTTTTTATATATATTCTAGCTCTTTAGAGAAATGGGGGGAAAGGGAATATCACACTAAAGGATAAGAATAACAGTTTCTCAAAGAGGATGTTTTTGCCTAAATTTGCAAACTGCTGCCACTGCTGTTACAGCACAGAGACAGGCAAATTCTGAAAGGGCCTCCAGCAGCTCTGCTGCAGGATTAGTCACAGAAGGTACCAGCTAACTGGAGCTTCTGTCTGTGTTCCGCCCCCAGGCTCCAGCTGTTTTGTTACACAGAGCCAGGCAGGTAATCAGGGATTCTCAGGGACAGCGAGGGGTCCTTTGAGAACACCAGCTCCTTTTCTTCACCTTATTGCAGGGCAGAACAGTGGGAAAATGGGGAAAATATATTTCTTTTCTTTTACCAAAAACATAATGATAGAACCATATGAGCTTAACTTCCAAGGCATACTAAAAATCATACACTGCCTCTTGTGCTCTGCAAATGAAGCCAGGAATGCAGTGGTGATGCTCAGGTGCATTTCCTAAGCAGAAAGAACTTTGGCAATTCCAGTTTCCCAGAGTAAATGGACAATTCAATAACTATTCAAGCGTGTTATTCTACTATTTCACTGGTTTGACTGATGACCAAAAGCCATTTTGCTACAACAGTGTTTATCTTCGTACTGACCATTATCCTGAAAGATTCCTGGGGAAACTTTTACTGTCTGTTTTACTTTTGTAGAATGGTTAGAAAAGTGTCGTCTGGACACAGAATTCTCTGGATTCTGGCTTTTCTTGTCTTTCCTTTTGGGAAGCTGAGGCGAGGAACTGTTTTCTCCCTGGTCACCAGATCCAATTGTAGACTTAGACTGCCCACCATTTCCCTAAAAAGAAGAGGACATCATTATCAGTGGTGCGAATTAAAAAGCTTATTTTTTTAAATTTCATTAAGGACTGGTATCAGGTGTTAAGGAACCATAATAATTTACAATTAGTACATTTAAGCGATATTTTAAATTATCCAGAGAAGTATAACTATCTTATGAACTTACTGTATGATCTGACCAATTAAATTTTCAATAGCTTCCAGGAGAAAAATCACATATTTATTATAAGAAAATAATTTTTCATTTAATGAAAAGAATGGCTGGATGAATCTATGCATGCATGCATGTTATATGCAGCTATCTCTCATCCATATGTGTAGGCAGCCACAAGATATAACACATTAATAGGACTTGTTAATATATCACTGTCTGTGTAAATGAGACCTGGGCATTATTCTAAGTGTCAAGAGAAGCTGGAGGAGAATGACAGCCTTCACAGGGCAGTCACACATTCAGTGGAATGTGAACAGAAACTTGTATGTTTTATTGCTTACTTCTTTCTAGTGGCTCCAGAGACTTGTTTTGTTTTGTTTTGTAAAGAGTGAATGGACATGATCAACTACCACAATTATAATGACAGACTGTGAGTCTGATTCCCTGCTGTCTTGTACAGCAAACTGCACTTGTGGAGAACTGGTGAAAACAGATATTTATATTCTGTTTTGGCACTAAAATTAAATCCACAGAGGACTCTTCTTGTAGCAATGTGGGGTTAGGCTCTTCTCCCAGTCAACAAGCAACAGGACAAGAAGAAAGGGCCTCAGGATATGCCAGGATGATTCAGGTTGGACATAAGGAAGAATTCCTTCACCAAAGCAGTGATTAAGCATTAGAACATTAGGCTGCCCAGAGAAGTGGTGGAGTCACCATTCCTGAAAGTATTTAGGAAACAACTGGATGTGGCACTTAGTGCTATGGTTTACTCGACATGGTGGTGATAGGTCAGAGATTGAACTCGATGACCTTGGGGGTCTTTTCCAACCTTAATGGTTGGATGACTTATTTTGTACACATATAAACAGCTAAACAGGATACAAAGAAGTGAAGGATCAAGCTCTGTCTGTAGTGGTTACCTAGAATAAAACATATCAAATTGCAACCTTTGTGAAAGGTTCTGTGTTTTTCCTTAAGGTATATAATTTGAATGAACGAATTAATAAACAAATAAATACCCAAATGATCAGGTTTATAGGAAAGACCTCAACCCAGCAGCTAATCTTTGCTATGGAGGCTTTTATCAAAAACAAAGCAGCCCTAATCACAACAATATTTTCTCAGATTTCTTCTGTCTAATTGACACTGCAAATAGCTACAGATTCATCAGGCTTTAATAAGCATGCCACTACGTGGCTGTGATTTTTTTTCTCTTCATATTTAATTAAGACCCAAAGGGCAGGGATTTTCCATCTGCCAGATTTTAGCTGAATTAGAAATTTGATACTTACGCTGCCTTTAGACTTTCGAGATCCCACAACTGGAGGTAGTACAGAGGTTTTGGAACTGCAGGAATAAGCCATATATTAGAATTGTGTGACCTGTCCCTGGCACAGACACTATGTATCTATAATCAAAGCAGATAACACCAAGATGGCTATGGCAACAGAGATAATTGCTTTTTTCACTGTGTGTATTCACTAAGCATCACTTGTTCTGTTTACTAGACTATGTTTAAATGCATGATCATTAACTTATTCAACAAGTGCATTACCCCACAATGCATACTTTATATACCAAAACCTTGCGGAGCAGTATCCAGTGCATTACTATGTGAATTCTCCTTACAATTTTCATTTCTTTCCTCTTATTTCAATGAAATGGTTCCAAATTCTCACGTTTTCCAAAGGTACAAAAAGCACAAGTCTCTCCTTACACACACCCAGTTTAGCACTCTATTATGTGATTGTTCTAGCCTACAAAAAATAGACCCAAACATAAAACAATCTTAAGGGAGTATATATTTCATAAAACATTACTAATCAAGAGTAGACCTAAACTGCTGATTCAGTTGTACACATTTGTATCCCAAGGAAAAAAAATAGGATTCCTTTGACTTGTATTAATTTTTCTCGGGTGCTAATTTTGTGATACATGATCAAGGGAATGCTTATGAGATGAACTGGTCTCCTGAATTTCCATTTCTGCTTTTGTTATTTTTATCTCAGCTTTCTCAGAAGCTGACAGTGAAGTTTTGCATCCATACTAACTCATGCATCATTCTTGGAATAATAATTTTTTACTTTGCTATTGACGCACACAAACACACAGGAGTGTATCACACACTTTCAGAACTTACCCCTGTGGCTTTCTCATTGTAGCTTTGGACAGCAGATCACCATATGGCAGTTTCTTAAACTTTTCTCTACCCACTGCAACATAAATTTGCCCATTCTCCAAGTCTGACCCATTCTGAACAAGTTTTCCATCTACAGTGTAGAGTCTGAAAAATATGAAAATGCTTATTATAATAAACCTTAACATTCAGTTAGCTGCATTAAGAGCACTGAAAGCTATGTTAATCTAAACTCACTAAATATATGTTGAGTTTCCAGATATGAAACCCAATAAAGTACAGGAAACACCATATAATGATCAGCAACACATTTTTTAAAAAAAAACCCAACCAAGGAAAAAAACCAAAACCAAAAAAAAAAAAAAAAAAAAAAAAAAACAGAACAAACAAACCACCAAGGAAAACAGCAAAATAACTACTTAAATCACAGCTTATATAAAACTAATTTCTTTATATTTCTAAGGTCTTCAATACCTTTGCCCTGTTATTTTGGAAGGAATCTATTGTATGAGTTCCTGCCCCCTCTCCTACCAAGTTCCACCCTCTATGTGTGTTCAGGGAACTATGCAGTAACCCGGGAAGAACATGACTGAAAGTCCTGTCCACCTAACACAGACCATGACAATAACATTGCATTTATATTGTTACATTGTGTAGATCAGAAGGTTGGAACCTGACAGGAACAACAGGAAATACAGCACCATATTAAAACAAGAAGCCATGTATCCTGGGCACATATCAATAATGACTATGTCTATTACACCAGGTGGATTTTTACCATAATGACTTCTTTTTGAGAAGAAAGAAATGCATCAGGGACTGCTGGGGGGAATTTATTTCTTTGTCAAATTTGTGATTTTATTTTAGCACGGTCAAAACAGTGGGTAAGGAGGAACATTCAATAATAAATTAGCTCTTTCCTACAAAGCATGGTTCAAAACTCAACAATATTTATATTTAATTTAAAAGTCAGCAATAACAACTTTCATTAAAGTCTTAACTGCAGGAATGTTGAATGACTATCTTAACTGCCCTTCTAGAAGCCTTCTAGCTATACTAGAGCTATACAATGTACGAATTTATAGTCATAAATTTCAACACAATGCAAGAAGATGTAAAAAATACACACAACCATACTATGAACATTTGGGGAAAAATATCAGGAGGCTACCTTGAATACACCCTTGACTTATGTGCAAAAATTTTCAATTTAAAAGAGAAAGAACTTTTAAAATTGATACATGCGGTGGCATAACCTTGAATAAATGCAGAAGAAAATCATGCACTTTACTGAACCAGGGATCACAGAATATCTGAGGTTGAACGAGATGTCTGGGGACCACCCAGTCCAGTCAGGCCTTGCAGAGCAAGAGCAACTAGAGTAGGTTGTTCAGAACTGTCTCTAGGTAAGTTTTGAACATCTGCAAGGATGGAGACTCCAGTGCCTCTCTAGGAAACGTGTTCCAATATATGATGACCATTACTGTAAGTTCTTTTTCTTCTGTTCAAGTGAAATTTCCTTCTCTCAGTTTGTGCCCGTTGTCTCTTGTCCTATCACTGTGCACCACTGAGAAAAGCCTGGCTCTGTCTTTTACACTCATTCCTACCAGGTATATACACACATTTAAAAGATCCCCGTGAGCCTTCTCTTCCTCAGGCTGCAGAGTCTCATCTCTCCTCACACTATAAGTATCTTCAAGCTCTTCCTCTCTGTGGCCCTTTGCTGCACTTGTTCCTGCATGTCCATGTCTTTCTTGTATTACCTTCATAAAATTACCCTAATTTTTTGTGTGTCTCCTGCCACATGGGAACACATTTCCAAGTGCAAACACTGAAAATTTTGGAAGGTGAAATTGCAGCTATTTTAAATCTAGATCACATTGCTGCTTCCTTGAGAAGAGGTATGCTAACTCTGGAGCACCTCGTTTGTGTTACTCATATTTATTTCATAGCACAAACATTCTACAGGCATGCCAGCAATTCAAAGAGCAATTTATGTTTCACTACCACTGAGTCAACATCAGTTACACACAAACAATGAAAATAAAACAAGCTATCAGAAAATCAGCAGGAAGCCTATTTCTGAATTAATTTCACTGTGTTCTGCTAGATTGCACTTCACTTTGGGAACTCAGGGGAAAAACCAGCAAATCAGTGTACCACAGCTTAAGAATTGCTTATATATTTGTATGGGGCTGCAGATATAGAGGGGTACATACAAAATAATGGGGTTTTTTTGTTCCTGATCTTTCATTTTGCTTGTGTTTTAATGTTACATTTAAAGTGCACAAGTTGTTTGTTTAATATAACTCAAAAATGTTACAGATTACTTGGCAATCTTTAATTGCATTCCTCACCCTGAAAATTATAATCACAATAGCAAAATCAAACATAATCAGTCTCTGAAGATGAAAGCAAAATCAAAAATGTATTTTTTTAAAAATGGATCTTCAAACAAATAACTAACTAAATGGACTTAACAAGCACACGCAAGTTTTGTGACACAAATTTCTGAAGCTACTTTTTTACAATTTTGGAATTTTGAAGCCACAATTTTCACCCACCCACTTTGCCACAACCATTCACAAACCAGCCGGGCTCTCTCTGGCTTGTATTATGTAACAAAAATGGTCACTACTTCTGAGGATGACCTAAGTTTGCCTTGTGAGATGTCAGTGGACTTCCACTTTCCATCCTGAATCCAAGGTAAAAAGTGACAGCCAAAAGGAAGCAAGCATACAGGCTGAGAAAGGCAGCAATGATACAATTTCTGGGACAATATCCCCAAATTCCCAGCTGCTGATGCACCCAGTACCTGCCCATCAGATTGCTGCACACCCCCCCCCCCCCCATCAACAATCTGACAAGCAGAAAAGCTGCTTTCCCATCATCTCCCCTCTCATATTTCATGCTTGCATCTCTATTCTGATCAGGATGATCAATAATTTCTTTTTTAAAAAGCCCCATGTGAAACTGTGAGACTTGGTAGCTTTTCAAGTCTTTTAATAACATAGGAAAGAAAAAGCTGCCCTGCATATAAAGCAGGTTCTTGTAAGTCCACTTAAGCTTCTTTAATGAGAAATTACATCTTTCCAGCATCAGTGGTCTTACCAGATCTCCCCTAATGCTAACATAGTTTCAGTAAACCCCAGCAAGTAATGTGCAACTTACTAGAGAACTAGGATCACTTTACTAATGGATTTAATATGTATTTCTAATATTTTAAAGAAAAGAAAATGAAAACTGAGTTAAAAGAAAACCAGCAAGGGGAGAACATTAAATAATTTAAAATGTCATGTACATTATCTTATTTTTGAAGGATTAAAGATGAGCACTGAAGAGAATTTCTCAAAAGGAATCTTAGTTATATATTGAATGCTTTCATGTATAACATTCAGTTTCAGCAGAGAGACACCAAGTAATGAAAATAAAATATGAAATATTTTTAAATGGCTAAACAACCTGAGAGCAGAAAGGATTGGTATGTTGTAAATGTTTTTTCTCGCTTTGTTCACTTCTGAATTTCACTAGCGGAGAAACAGACCCAGAAAGCTTCAACACATGCAGGTTTACTTTACTGCAAGTGAGAGTCATAAGCAGCCAGTTAATAGGAGCAAAGAAGTTCAGGGCTGAGGGAAAAAGCTTGATGAGAGCTAATATTCAACAGCATTACCTTAACCTTCTCTCACCCTTGTCAAACGGGAAAACAAGCAGAAGAACTAAAAGACTACCTTATCTGCACTGTTTTGAGAAAGATTTTGCAAGCTTAGCCTCAGACATTGCATAGGCTGTGAAGAATGATTTTCCACAAAAGGTCCTTTCCCACCTGATGAAGAGATTTCTGTAATGTGCTCTGCATGGGGCCACACTGGAACGTTTGTAATTTGCTTGCACACCTTGAGAGCACACTTAAACTGCAGTGTTTCTCACAGATATCATATTGATCATTTTGCTCTAAAACTAACAAAAACTACCAAATGCCATTTTAGGTAACTTATTTTACATTGTAAAAGCCTTACGGGACTGAAACCTACCTATCCAAGAGGTCACCTCCTATTCCTTGGATACCTCATCAACTCAGACCAGCTGAGATACTGGAACTGGCAAACCCCAACAACAACTTTGGCCTTGGCTTTTATTAAGAGGCTGAGGGCTGAATATGAAGCACATCCTAATCTTGCCCCAGGTATACAAACCCCAGAGAATCTATAATATTCTCCTTGAAATTGTTTGCCCCAGTGAATTTAAAGAACTATCAAAATTAAAAAGTAACACACATCATGTACCCCACATTCCAAACATCTTCACCAACTTTACCATGCTCATTTATTTCATTATGACACATAACTTATTTATTAGTACTAAATGTGTTGCAATATTATTGTATTATTACTGGCCTGCTAATTAAATAAACTAATAAATATTAATTTTAAAATATCAGTTCAAGCAAATAGCAGTTATTCCTTTGTTAAATAGCAGTAGAAATGAAATGTGAAGGTTACTTAAAGTCAACGTATTTCCACTTTGTTGCCTTCTGTATTTTAATTTTCTTAGAGTGAAACTTCCTATAAAATAGGAATGACTCATTATATCTACCTATGGAGTTTCAGAAACATATCTAGGCATATAAAATGTATCTTGCAAGTATTTGGCTTCCTTATACCTGTGAACAGCTCCACTTCTGAGAGTAACTTTTCCTGTTGCCATTTCTAGAATATGGTCCCAGTGATTCAGTGTTTTCCTGGGAATGAGGAGGCGCACTGCAGGGCTAATAAGGTCTCCATTAGCAATTAGGCTGAAATAAAGCAAAGTAAAATAACTTGGAGGAGCATTTTAAACAAAGCTCACCTGAAGTGAACACAGTAGCACCACCACCCCTGAAATGGCAATCCACTAAGTGAAAATTCTACTTACAAAATAGTGCAGGGCTCCTGGAGAGGCTTTCGAAACCGTGCTGACACAGTGATCCTACTGTGAGTAACTGGCTTGACCTGCAAGAACAAAAGAAGAATTAGAAGTTACACAGTCCTCATAGTCAGAAAAAGTTTACCCTGACCACCATCAGCAAGTGGGACAGCATGTCTATAAAGAATGCATTTTATTCCATTCCAGCTTCACCTTCCACATAGCACACATAATGACTGCTGCAGGTTTATGTGTGTGCCCAGTAACAACCACAGCACAGCACACCACACCACAGTGCACCATGGCACAACACATGGTTGGCACTGAGGTGACAGAATTGTATGGACATCTCTGGTTTTCCACAGACCCAAAGAAATACTCCCAAATGCTGTTCTTGCTGTCTTAGTCTTTATTGCTTGTAACCATGGTGCAGGCAATTTAACTATCTCCTCTTTTTAGCAATAAATGACATTGCTAGATCCCTCTGCTGTTATAATAACTACTTTTGGTCTTGTATAGGCCTTTAATCCAAATCCGTCAGTAATTTATAAAGATTCCTGAATACTTTGCTCATTTTAGAGCAATGACTCAAAAGTGAGGTGAACTGCAGGTTTTAGCCTTCAGAATAATACACAGGCTACTTAATTCCCAGAATTATGCCCTATACTCTTTTGAATGGACACTGCATTGAGATCTACATTAATGTTGTTATTCTGAACAGAAAGTTAAGAAAAAGAAAAGGATAAAGCCTTTCAAAAATCAGGAAGATTTCTTTTTAATTCATCATTAGCAAATCAAAATAAGGTGCTAAATCCAAACAAGCATTCAAAAGTTATAGTACATGAATTTACAAGTTCACTACATTTCTAAAAAAAATACCATAGAAGTTTAAAGGATTAAATAGCTGATATGCAGAGAGACATGCTTTCAAATAGATGTACAAAGTTTATTTAAACTGGCAATTTTCCAGTCACCATGTAAAGTAGTTTAATGACACAGTATGTTGCAGTTTTATCACACTCTGTGCTAACTTAACCAGTGGTTCTCATTTAATTTGTGGGAAATGGTCTGAACTCTGGGGCTTTTAGTCTTTGCTTGGATTTTCACACAAACTCATTTAGTAATGACTAGAATGCTTTCCAGTTCTTTCTTGGGCATACGCTGAAAAGAAAGTTGCTCAACCTAGTAGATACTCCCAATGGGCTAAAAATTATAATTAAAATAATGAAATCTGACTTCCCACATGGGTCAAAGAATGTCACACAGCAAATTCTGCACCAAGCACGTAAATTCTGGAGGTGAGATAGCAAACTTAGGAGAAAAGGAACCAACAAAACAAAAGCAATAATTGCACTCCTTAGTGTACAAGGATTTCCAGTAAAATACAGCAACAGGTAAATCTGTTGAACAAAATCTGTTTTCAATGTCTGCTGAAAAAGAAGCATAATTATTCTGAATTCAACTCACTTCAGCTTGTTGTGTTTTTCAAAGGCCCTTGTGAGCTGTGTAGCCCTCTCAAACATTTGTGTTTTGAGAGACTCAGAGGACATAAAAGCCCACAGTGGTTATGGATGGAGAAAGGCCGAATCAACCTTTGCAGAGCTCCACAGACTAAAAAGACTAAACAGAAGCAACCAGACCCAGAAGGGCGTGGTGATTTGAAAGTCAGTGCAAAGGGTTATTTTGGCCAGAGACATCTACAAGAGGAGAGACAGCAAGGAAGATGCTACTACTGCATTGTGCCAGCATTGCTTGCAGACCAGACTAGGAAGCAGACTCCTGGCATGGCTGGGGACCTTCCCTTTAAGCAAGAAATTCACAAGCCATTTGCATTTACTCAGACCTATTTTGTAGATGCATGTTTGTTTTGGCCTCATTCAAAGAGAAATTTTGTACTAGACTGTACATGCACTAATGCTTAAGGTAATTGCAGTTCACAGTCTTGCTGTCAATTCCAGTGTGATCTGAATCAGGTGAAAGATTCACACCTACTACTACAGGCTTGGAAAGAGAGTAAGAGGTTGCTATCATATACCTCATTAGGGGAGGCAAAAACATTTCTTGAGAAGTGCAAAGTAACTTAGGAGCTCAACCATGCTTGCAGAAACATTAGAAGAATATTCTTCAGAGCATAGCTGGTCATTTATGTCACCAAAGTTTGAAATGAAAATTTACTGGAAAAAAATTAAAATAAACCTTAAACTGCAACATCTGAAAACATTTCTATTGCTGCTGTCAGCCATTAAAGGGTTGTTTTCTCAGCGTAAGCTATCTAATAATGAGTTTCAGCTTTTTTCAGGGGGAAAAAAGTAACTTTCTAAAGGTTATGCTACTGGAGGCTAAGACAATACTGATTTATTTCCATAGCATCAGATCCTAATGTTAAGGCTCCAAACACAAAATGGGTGTTACTAAACCTTGGATGCCCTTACACCTTTCTTTGTAGCTGGTAAGTTGCCAGGATAATTCCCTATAAAATATCCAATACATAAATAGTAAAATTATAAATCACTTTGTCTAAAAGTTGATTTCACATCCATTCCTGATGCTCACTTAGGCTACTTAAGCTCTCCCACAGTCTCTCCACACAGTCCATCAAATTAAGTTCTCTGATGCAGTCTGCAACACTCAGGTTCCAATGCTCCACACTTCACTGGAACAGTTAGAAAGCATTCACTAAGCATAAAGAAGCCCTTTAGGATAGCCCTAGGGGTGTCCTATTACTTGGTTGCTCCTGCAGGCTGATGAAACCATTAATTTTGGTGTAGGCTCCTCAGAAGGCATCAAGTGATTGCACATAGCACAGTCACCAGACCCTGGAGAACACAATAACCTGGCAGATGTTACGAGCTCGTTTATTATTTGAAGGATTGAATTTCTGCCCCTGGTAGGTACTGAAGCATCAACTTGGAAGTTTGTATTTTGAGTTGCTCTCTGAAGATCATTAGTATTTCTGGCAGCCTTCTGCCCCTTACAAGTTTAGGCTTGTTATTAAACAAACAAACTGCAGGGGATTATAACATGGGACCAGCTTGGGCCAAGACTAAATATTTGTCTGTTCTACCTAACCATGGCCTAAACTGGAACAAAATATAAACTTGCACTGTTTACCTAAGCCTGTTTAAATCAATGTACCTTCTGTATTAAAAACAAAAAAAAAAAAAATGAAGATAATATGTTAGTGCAATAATACATTTGATAAAGTGAAACTACAAAAATTAGTGCAAGGATGTATGCTCTGAAGTCATATTTTATAAAGATCACACTACACTGTGATTTAAAAAGGAAAAAAAAAGGTAAGAAAAAAACCACTAGTTCCTATACTATACAAGTTTCTTTTCATTAATCTGACTGTTCTGTTTGTAGAGGTTACGGTAACTTCTGTCTGATCAATGTTAAACTATTTATGGTTATGAAAAGCACAGCACCTAACTTCAAAACACAGAAGTATACATTAATAAAAGACCAAGTGCCCAGCCACAGTAAATCAATTTATTTCCTTTGAGGTATATGGAGTTCCACGAAACCATGCCAGTGGAAGAACTGGTCCAGGGGTTAATTAAAGAATACATAGTTCTGCTCCTATTATGTTCGTAGGAGGCACCACATTGTTGCAGTGTCTGGAATATCCTGACCCCTCTGGCACTGCAGAGTTACATATTAACAACAAAGTGGTCCTGGGTGAAAGTTTGTGGTTGCATTAAGAGACCAGCATCACTAGCCCCCTAACCCCTTTATTTTCTTTTCATTTCACCAGCCACATTCTCTGATGATGTACATCAGCACTTTCCTATTTACGTCAGCAACTGCAAGCAGATTTACATTAATCAGTGGTCTGACCCCATTATGATTTTATCTTTAAATTTTGTACATTTTCAGTTTGTTTGAAAAGACTCATTTAAGGGCAGCTTCCATTTCCTACTGACAAACATTGCCAACAATTCATAATTTGTGATGAGATACTTATCTGAGGTATTACACGACAACACACAGCAGCACAAAGTGTCCAGGGGAGGAAGGAGGAACTCAGAGAAAACTTTATGTAAGCTGGAAGCAATCAATCCAATGACAATTTGCAAGGCAACAAGAGTTACACAGTTGGAAATACACCATGGGATCACAGACACTCAAAACCACTAAAATTTTTAGTTTTCTGTTCTTTAAACAAAAGATATTTCCCACAAAGCCTCTTACAGCAGAATGGATTTTCCTTACTTAAGAGAGGAGTTACCATCTGTGAAATGACTTTGCAAAGCACCATGTAAAGTCTGGGGAAAACAAAACAACTAAACTCAGCGCAGGTTAGGCTCTGGGAATGGGAATCACTGTGCAGTGTTGGAGAACTCTGTAAACACTTGAATCTCAGAACACTTTTTACAAAGTCTCTTGGGAATCCAGCTTTCCTCTTCGATCATAACACCCTGGGGTTGAACGTGTGATTAGCTCTGAGTGTCTCCTAACAGCCTTTTGTAAATACAAACACACAGCCCATCAGCATCCAACTGAAGCCAGGTAATAAAATCCATGCCCTCACAGCTGTTTGGTTTAAACAACATCCTATATATTTTTCACTTTTATGCTAAACATAGCTATTTTCTAAATATTTACAAAATTTAACAAATACAAACACAACACTTAAGAAACACATACAACACATTGCACAATCCACTTTTGGTACTTACATCTTCCAGTGTTGACTGTTGGAAAAAAACCAAAAAAAAGCTAAATGATCAGCAGCCAAACCATTACCTCAGGTATACTGCCATATTTTTATAGGAAAACCATTTTGAATTAGCCTGTGTATATCCAAAAGTACATTTGAATATAATATGTGTGTATGCATAAATATATACACACTTTAACACAGTTTTAATTTTAAAAATTATTTTATGTTTATGTTCAGCTCACTACATGAAAACAAATTACAAGAGTAAGTTTTCTAAAGCCATTACAGCACAGGAAAGATCTGTTTCATAGATACATTACATTTTTTTACAGGCATTTTTATACACAATGACAAAAGATGCAGAGTCAAACTCATTAAATAACTAAACCCATTCCTAGTGTTCCTTTTTAGAACACTAGGAATGGGTTTGCTTATGCAGTCTTTCTAACTCCAAGAAGTGTGACATTGGCAAAGAATGTTACACATACGGCATTAAATGGAAATCATCATTGAGAATGGCTATTCATGTAAGGACTCTGAGCAAGGCACACATTGGTTTGAAGTATACAGATAAAAATTAATGGTTTTCACCTCTTGCTTCAGACACATGCTAACCAGTAAAAGATAATAAACATTAATCTCTAACATGAAGATGTATCAAAATTAAGTTTATTTGTTTTGGTTGGTGTGAACTTATTTGCTGATCCCCACACATAGAGTTTTTGCTTCTATGAATGCTGCACTATACCTCTCGACACATACTATAAAAATGTAGACTGGAAAGTGGGACAGACTCTGAAAACTACCCAATCTCCTCTTGGCTACTTGGGACTTGCAAGAGACACATGACACTTCACAGAGTCAACCCTTGTATATAAGAAAAGGATGCAGTTAATAAATTAGTATTTTAACAGGCCTCTGAACACACCAGTCTACATACTCAGTTTCTAAAAAGGTGATTTTTATGCACTTGAGGATTGGTTCAAATAGAAATGTGCTGTTCTTATCTTCACTTTTCCTTTCAGTGGTCATTAAATAATTAGACATATGCTAAATACAGGCATCTGGCAGCACTTTCACAGTGCTGCCATGAATACATACACCAGTTACTCATAGCTAAGAAATGGTATCACTAACTGATTTATTTGCTTTCCTAACCAGAAATGTCCCCCCATCAAAGGGGGCAATTAAACAGCTGCATGATTTGCAGGATAACATGTATTTACAAAGCCACACTGGACAGCAACAAAGCAAGAGTCAAAAAATGTAATGTGTCTGAACCAGATGCTCTGTGCTCCTTTGATTTGTGCAGGCTTAAAAGCTGGCCTTTCTTATTGCTACCAATGTAGTCCTGGGTGCTATGAACATCTCAGTCATTACTCATGTCACTTTATAACTAACCTTTCAAAGCTTTAAATATTTCAACACAGTGTCACATTCCAAATTTATCAGCTCATGCAATGAGCCATAGCCTTGCCAGTTTGTTACAATGGCCTGTTTGTTAATCAATGTGCCCAGGAAAATTGAGAACAAATATTTACATCTCCCTGAGGTAGAACTGGGGTCAAAAGAACCAAAACCCCACTGATACACACCATCACCACCGTGTGATGTAAAAGAAAGGAATGTTCAAGGTTCAGTGATCAAAACCAAACTAGAACAATAAGTTTTCTAAAGCTATTACAACACAGGAAACATGTTATCTTTTTCATAGAAACTTGACTTTTTTTAATGGACATTTTTTACACATTGACTCAAGTTGAAGAGCCAAACTCACTGAGGTGTTTGGCTAGTACAAAACCATTTCAGTCATCCTATGCAGTAGCTAACCTGGATAATCCACACTTCCCTGGCTACTTTGCACTGCTAGATGGTGCTCTGGATAGCACAAACCAGCATTGAGCCGGAAACTACAAAACTTTCTACTGCTGTGGATATAAAGCAACACTCAAACTGCACACAAACTTCTCAGCACATATAAAACCAGGATGAGCTGGAAATGAGCTATTCCACAGCAGACAGTTGTGTAGTGACTAAGGGAGCCTTCTAGACTGCAAAGCTCCTACAAAATTCCCAGAGTGTTTAAAGCCAACCCATTCATCTCCAAGGAAAATTGCCCTCCTTTTCAGGCACAGTAAGTGAAATGGAGTTTGTATTCTCTGTACATCTCACCTCAGCTATTTAAGCTCTGGGGGAAAAAAAAATTCAGTCTGGATCTGCCATGACTTTGGGACATTGGACCAGTGGCCAAATATTCAGCTGGGACAAGTCAAACAATGGCATGGCCTTATCTGCCTAGAACACAGCCTATGCAATGCTCCAAAATAGATGACATCTGCATTCCCTCTCGATCCCAACAATAGCTCCCACTTCTTCTCTGAGTTGCATGATGCTGTACTCACACTGCTTACAACACACACAATGATGGCATCAGCAACAGAGTTTATTCAAGCAAAACAGATCCTGATATTAATTTGTGACTCTGACATGATAGTGATGATTCTGGCTGGTCTTGCCTCTCACATTTTGTCTTTTCCACAAATTCTTTAGACTAATTAAATCAAAAGTTCAGGTCCTTCTGATGAGTTTTTATGGCTCATCAGAAGGACCTGAAGCTAGGAGCAGTCAAATAACTGAAGAACAAAATAAAACCCACCCAAAAAATCTTTGTTTTTTTCTTCACCATTTTTAATAAAAGCTGTTAATGTTTCAAGTAAGTCAATTTAATATACAGCAACAAATTATTAATGAGACTAACACGTGCCTCATTAAAAGCTTCAGTATTGGCACCTCCTCACTCGCTCCTGGCCTCCTGACAGGCCAGGAGGACTGGCTACTCAACTAAACAAGGCAGGTCTTAATCAAGGAAGAGAACAACTTTCAAGTTTCAGATCAAACTCAATACAGACCATGGAATTCTCCAGTGGCATGAACCAAAGTCTTTCTGCTGCTCAAAAATTCAATAAATCTATTTGTTAGGAAGCTGCTAGTCAAAATACTTGAAACTGCACAGTTCAGGTAATATAAAACTATATAATGAGAAGTTTTATTCATTCATAGTCCAAATAAGGAAAAAAAGGGCACAGCTTATCTTCTAACTGGATGTCTGGGCAGTTCTTCTCTAATTCCTCCTGGTATTAGGCTGTGAACACTCAGGAAGGGTATTTGTTTTGTATGCCTTCTTGTGCTAGTTATGTTACCAGGATACTAAATACCAAACAATGGCATATCACATTTAACCATTAAAGATGTTGCTAAGGAGATTAAAGATATATATCACATTTTTTTAAACTTCACATTTTAACAGTCTTATTCTTTAAAATACACTTACAGCAGAATTATTAATTAATTTAGCATGAGGAAATAAAAAAAAATTCTTGCCCAGTCTGTGGTGCCAGCAGTAGAAGAAATCAAATCGGTCAAATATGGATTAGCAAGAGGGTTTAGAGATCATCGAGTCCAACCCATGCCCTTACACCTCAACTAAACCATGGCACCGAGTGCCACATCCAGTCTTTTTTTAAACACATCCAGGGATGGTGACTTCACCACTTCCCTGGGCAGACCATTCCAGAACTTTATCACTCTTTCCATAAAAATCTTTTGCCTAATATCCAACCTATAGTTTTGCATTCTGGCAAACGAATATGAAGTGAACCTTTATACATGACTTTTTACCAGCAAAACAGTATTTTGTGTTTAGCAATGTTGGGTAGCACAAATAATGTTTGAGTTTTTTAATCCTTAGGAAAGAATCTGGAAAGAATATGTTATGTAGTTACATTGTTTTGACATCAAAAACAATGTAACTTTGCACAGCCTGGGATAATTTCTAGTATCTATTTAGTCCCTTTTACAGAACTATCTTTTGTACAGAGAAAATATCCAACAGTCATTTCTAACTGACAGTTAGATGTTAAAGTGAATCAAGAGCCCAGTAATTGAAAAATGACAAGTTTTTCCTTATGATTAAACATGTATGTTGTCAAACATGATAAACAGTAGTTTTAAAATAAAAAATAATTATAACTACTGTGATTTTTCATGAGAAGGTACTTGAAAATGAATGAGACACATCAAATTAGATACAAGGTATATCCAGCATGAATATACCAAAATAATTTGTGAAACCAAGACAACATCATAGACTTTCAAAATGTATTTTTTGCAGATAAGTGCAATCATACTGCTGCTGAGAGATGAGTGGTGACTTTGTCAAGCAACAAAGGATGAGGGAAAACAATTGCCATAAATGATATTAGAATAATTTAATTTTGAAACATGGAGGAACAGAGGAAATGCAGGATTTGCAAGTCTTCAAAATAATTTTATAGCATCATCTTAAATGCTTTTGGGGAAAATTTTACTGCTAAATTCATATCTACCAAGTCTCAACCATTGTATTTTCTACCTCACACTCCCTCGTCATGGTGCTTGTCTCTTCTGTCAGCACTGGACAACAGGGACCAGGACCTGTCCCAGGACCTCACCAAGAATGCAGAGGCCACCACTACACTGAGATTTGCCAATCAGCTATACCTGGTGCACAAGACCCCCCAGCAGCTGCTGAGGGATGGGCTGGACCTGGAGACCACTGGTAGAAGACATTCTGCCAGTCACATTTTCACTGTGCAGTCACACTTCATCACAGGCACAAACACGTTCTGTGAAGCTCCCTAGAAAGCAAAAGCACTTTACTCCATGTCCTAGCCCATGTCTGTGTCTTCCAGAATGTGACCAGTGTAAGAACTGATAGGCACTGGATCAGAAAAAGAAATTTAAAATTATAAAAATGTTTAGACATTCACTCAAGTCCTTGTGATTAGTAAGTGTTTTCACTGGGAGAGATGTTCTGGAGGTGTTACAGATACAAATATGCAGGTCATACATGTAGGATAGCTTTGACGAATCTTTACTAATCCTCTCAAGAATCATTCATAAAAACATTGATTATTCGATTCAACAAATACTCCTATAAATGTGACCACACCTAAACCAAATTATAAAACAATAAGTTGCAATCAAAAAGGAGTTATGGAACAATAAAATAAGTTCAGGTAAAACAGTGAAAAAGTGAAAAACTGGGAAAATGTGACTTAGTTGTGTCAGGGCTGCCCACACAATCACCTTGTCCTAGAAGTTCAGGAGAAAAAGTGAAGTGCAGACAAAAAAATTCAATGTTCTTACTACCTAAGATCAACCAAGGGCAAGGGTATCAACAGCAGAGTAGCTTACTGCAGGCCTGCTATGGCCTTCTGATAACAGATGCTGTTTCATACAGACAGTAGAACCTTCCTTTTTTCTCTCAGTTGCGAGAGACTGGTTCTTCAATATCAAAATACTTCTGCTTTTCTTGGGTACCTGTAATTCTTTGCTGTTACACTATCACAGGGCAAAGTTCATTTACTGCAGCGTGTTCAAAGAGTAGTTGATCATAAAAAGTCAAAGAAGAAAGGAGGCTCCAGCTGAACATATTTTTATGAAGCAAAGAGAGTTTAAAATAAACAGCTGCCTACAGGATTTGCAAATATGAAAGATGATTCTTCTTCAGCTTGCCCAGCACCAATGGCAAGTAAAATTCATCTTTTGAGTGCAGAGGGAGAGACCATTTAGATCAAACAGTGCCTAGAGAAATACAAATGTTCAGACTTTCCCCATATAATTGGAAAATAATATTCGGTACCTTTTAAAAACAATTAAGCTTATAATAAACAACTGGTAAGTCTGTTGGTCTGTATTTTCCCAAGAGATCAATCATTAGATTCCTCAAGCACATCATTTAACGTGCATTTGGACTTGTACATCAGCTTTGGTACAAAAGGGATCTCTCTTGAAAAACAAGAAGCTCAGCTGCCAAAAGAAGTGAGGGATGGAAACACACCTGAGAAAGAGTTTGCAACAAAGCTTTTGCTTGGGTCAGGATGAAATCTTTTTACTATTTTGCCTACCAGTAACACAACCATTAAAATTTTGATATGTTTTATTACAGCATGATGGCTCTGCCAGAGGATTTACACCATATCGTGAACATAAATTTTTTCTTGCTTAATTCTAGTTTGACACACATTTCTAGTTTGCAAATTTAAAGTAATGGAGATGTTGCCTTGAAAGAACAACATTAAAATGCTCCCAAAAGCAGATGTCAAGCATTTGGCAGTTTAACTAACACAAAAGAAACACAGCTGCATACAAAGACACAGTGTACAGCTGCTGCATAAAGTTTTCTTCATTTTGACTCCCTGAACACTAACCAGAATCAGATATTTGCAATTGTTTTAGTGGACAAAATGCCAAATTACACATGCTTGAAGCAATCAGATTTTATACCCTTGTAGTTAAGCATGATAGAAATAGTGCTGCCTCTCTTGGTCCTACAACAAATCTAGGGTTTTGATTTCTAAGTGAACATCTGAAAAAAAAAGTAACTTGGGGCTTGCTGCCTCATATAATTTTAAAAACTAATTTGAGCATTAAAACTTCTGTTACTAGTCCCCTGAAAGTTCACTCCCACGATTAAATTCTTAGGGCATAAAGACAACTGTGTTATTCATAAGCCCAGATAAAAATCTGTAGACTACCAATATGTTTCATTTCATTTTTGTGACTCCTCTCCCCAAATAAATCAATCATGTTTAAGTTAAATTCAGCACAGGGATTTAAGCTCTCCACAGGGAGACAGTGGAGATTGCAAACGTAAGTCAAATATGAAGAAGAAAGCTGAGATAATGGAGGGTTTTATACTGGATTACTTTAAAGCCCCAAGACATGGCTGAAAGTGTTAAGATAATATACAATGAGCACTGATTCCAGACAAAATAATAAAAGCCTCTTTTATCAAATATGCAACTATAGGTAAAAAAAACCTCATAACTTCTACAACTACTTCTACAACTGCACGGAGTTTCTGTTATATCAAAAATCTTCTAAGGATTTGCAGCAAAATAATCAGCCTTAAAACCAGCCTTTAAAAAGCAAGGCTGTAGTTGTACTGATAAGTATCCAACTAAGAATAAATTTACAGGGTAGCTGTAGCAGCAGCATATCAAATCTTCAACTTGAATTTGATCTTCCTGTTCAGTGAGCCCATTCAAAAAAATACAGGTGACAAGTTATGTTAAATTTAAAAAGTGCTGTATTGCATATCTTCTGAATAAGAAGTATCTGAGTATCACACTAAAGGTCATTAAAGCAATTTTGAGGATCTTCTAGTGTCCTACTGTCTGAAAATACCTCCTTACAAATGATGAATTGCTGCAAATGTGGCCCAAGAGCACAAGGCAGAAGAATTTGACAAAGAGGCTGATGCTTCTTGTGAGGCACAAGCTGGAACTCAAATGTTTGTTGGGAGTCACTGCTACCTCCACACACAATGAAACAGTAAAAATAATGCAGAGCCACGCATCTCACACACATCCTCATGATGCTTTTTGAAGCTTGCAGTTATCTCCTCCAGCATAAGCACTGATGAAGAAAACAACTGAGCTTGGCAAATTATGGACTAGAGTTAGTTAAAAGTTTACACTGGCATTTTCCAAACAAAAATGCCTCTTCTTCAGAGGAAATACCAAATTTTGAAGAAAATTTCCTGGTCCAAAACTCCCAAAATTATAATTTCTACCATTTTTTTCTGCAAGTACAAATCTCCCTTAGGTTTATGACCAGATTCAAGGAAGACAACAGGAGATCTTTTTCCTTACTGAGTTTTAGCTGGATGTGGCAATTTAGAAAGCTGAGCAGAAGACAGTCAATACATCATGCTGAGAGCAACCAGAGTAATAAGCACTGAAGAAATATGTGCAGAATGGTAGATAACTGTATTATTATAAAATTAAATAGAATAAACATATATTAAAAAATCAGGTTTGAATTCAGATCTGTCACTAACATAAACTTCAGGTTTATTTCTTCAGTATTTCAGCCATCCTACCTCATTATTGACTTCAGCGGGTTTTTTCTTTATTTCTCCAATGTCCAAATAGCTGCAGAAAGAAAACATGTTTGATTATTTACAGGATCATCTGACTTACACAATACCAATATTCTATACTTTTTTCACACATGAAGGTTTTAAAACTTATGCTTCAAAATAACAGAAAAAGTAAGAAATTATTAATATTAACTAACACAATATAAATCTTCAGGCTAACTCTCTAGGCTAATGTAAAAGACAAGGGAGAAAAAACCACCTACCTTCAAGTCACTGGTGATTAGAACAGACCATCAATGACCCCCTTGTCAGAAAGAAGCTCATATATAGCTGTGAGGTGGATCAATAATTCTCAGCATAGTATCACCTTACCAGAGTTTTCAAAGTCATCATCTTGCCTCTTGGTTTCTCACAGTAAGTCTCTGACAGATTGAAGGCTTGCCTGCACACTCAGGGCATCAGCTAAAGTTTAAAATTATCTATACCATTTGGGTTTCAATGCTATGTGGACATATCTAAACACTTGTTTCTCGTGGCTGAATGAACCAATAATAGCGTCATAATTATTTTATGGATAAAATACACGCCTCAACTGGACAAGCAAACAAAATACATCTATTTGGACAATATTATGTTCTCCTTGTGACGTTGACTGATCTCACTTCCAGCGGGAAGGTGCTTTACCAGGAGTTTAAGACTAGAAGACCTTATTTGAGAAGTCAGCTACACCTAAAGCCAAGCACCAGTGCAAGCTCACCATAACACCTCAGATCTCACAACATCTGCAGCCCTACAGTAATATCACTCTCTGTAGTTAATGACTGGGGTTAGATTCATTTGCCAGAAGAAACTTTCCTACTTGGCCAAAGTTAAGAATTCATGGGACTTGAATGAAGGTGCAAAAGCAGGAAAAAAAAAAAATAAAGAAAAAAGTCCTCCTTTCTTTGAAGGAATAGCAATCATTTATCAGGGTACACAGAATGGTCACAGGGATTTGAAGACTTCCTTGTAAGGGAACAGTAAGACACAGCAAAGCTGCCAAGTCATGCTTGAAAGTGCATGCCAGTGCTTTGAAAGAGGTAAGTGTAGCAACATAGGATAACATTTTTACAAGCCTTATGTTTAGAAACAAATAATATAACAACTGTTCCAAACTCTCGGTAGAAAAAGGAACACGTTCTCTTCAGACCAAAACCAAGAAATCTTACAGCCTGCAAGACTGAAAAGAAGTAAGTGCCTCAGGCAAAATGGTTCCAATATCTGCTGACTGTGATTGTTGTTTTCAAAGCACCTGTGAATTACTTCACCAAAAACTAAGAAAAGTGACAAAGCAAAGCAAATATCTAGTCAAAGGCTTAAATTCACTGTGCAGAAGTCTGGACATTCATTCATCACATTTCAAGGGCCTGCAAATCTGAAAAGTTTTAAATAAGAGCAAAGGTTTTTTTTTTTTTTTGTTTTTTTTTTGTTTTTTTTTTTTGATAATGACACTCAAAAAAACCCACTCAGACCAAAAATTTTACAAATTTATTCTCCCTTACTAAGAAAGCAGAAATGCTCCCAACCCATGGCTAGCCAAGCCAGCACTGAAATTACAGCACTGTTTAGAAAGACACAGCTGGAAAGAGGACAATTTACCATTGATGAATGAGCACAGATACAAGTACATGGGAAAACGAAGGGGGATGGAGGAGTAGCATGCTGGAAAAAAAGCTAAAAATCGAAACCAGCTCTAGCATAGACAGTCTTCTTTCATAGAGCTGGGGAAGAACTCCACAGGGGTGCAGCCTATGTGTGCATTCTCACCCACCACTGCAACAACTCCAATATACCAACAACACACCTTACCACATATACAGCAAAACTGGGTGTGAAAACTTAGGACACTGTTAAATGACAAAACAAGCTTGAAAACTTGCTATACGTTGCAAAAATTACCAACACTGATTAAAAATTCCTCCATTGAAGAAAATTCCTACATTTTTTTCTAAAATCAGAATGTCTAAATACTGATTTTTATTTTTTTTTTTTTAATTCAGCAGTTTATCTAGAATATATGCTCTCAGAACTATCAACCTCAAAATATTAAGAGTCAGGGTTTGGCTCATGTGCTAAAGGTGAGCGCAGTTTGTTCTTGAATTCACCGTGAACAAGAAAGAGATTCACTTCTCAGTGTAAGGCATCTGAGAAGAAAAAAATGCACTGCTTGAAGCTGTACAATGACACTTTCAACTTCTGCTACTCCTTGGATACTTTCTCCATTACACCCCCACAGCTCCCACACATCAGTGCAACAAGCCTCCATTCCATAGTTCAGCCCTGCATAGTCTGTCATAGCAATTAATATGGCCAATAAGAATCACTGGGGGAAAATGAAAATAAATAGATTTTTTTTTTTAATCAAACTTCTTGCTGCCATCAGATCCCTTAAGGCAGATGCTTTGGTCTGTCACACTGTAACTGTTTACCTGTGACACATTACACAAATATACACATTTTTCTTTAATTCCTTCACTTCCTTCCAGAAAACTGTTCCTTCCAATTAACCCTTCCTCTCCTCTGACTTTTCTGTCTGTCTCCCTAATTACCATTCTGTCTACAACCCAATCAAGAATAATTTCAACATTAAGCCCTTCAGCTTCATTTTAATGCTCATAAAAGAACTGCCAACATTTCCAGCACTGTGTAAACAAATACTAATAAGTGAAAAACTCCAATTCTGAATGCAGAAATGGAAGGGATCTCAAGTCATCCCATTTATCCTCTCTACAGCACAGGACTAGGACATAATATCAAGGGATATATAACACAGCCTGGTTTTACCTAGTCCCTTAGGTTAGCTTTTCTTTTCTTTCAGTATTATCTTTATTGGCCTTAAATAACTAGATACCTTGTTGTATGTTGCAATCATAAAAGTCTGAAAAAGTCTCACCATAAAACTCTGACCCATATAGTGTGGCCTGACCAAAAGAAATACTTTTCCCCACACAAATCCCCAGTGCCCAATTCTGTGTTTGGCATTAGCACACAAAAAAGTGTGTGCTAATGCCAAACATTACTTATTTGTAGCCTATCAACACAAAGCACATTTAGGGAGGTGTAACATGATGTGCTGATAACTTAACAATTTTAAGCCATCCACAGAATCACAGGATTTAATATGAAAAAGTAATGGTAGATCTCTCTTAGAGCTGAGCACTTCATTTGACACAGAAAAGAGTAAGTACTATTGGAAAAGTGCTTATATTTAGCCTGTCATACATCTTTCTTTCTGGCTTTCCTACTGAAGTGCAAGAAGCTTCAATAAATCTTTAGAAGCAGCTAGTGACAGAAATGGTAAGGGTGATGATAGAGATCCTGATCATTACACAGAGAGTTTTGTCCTGAAACATAATGAGCCACTAATGAGCTCTCCTGAAAAATATAATGTCCTCAACTCTACAGAACCAAGATGAGGAAGACACTATAAAGGTTTTAGTTGATGATATGAATTCTCAAACATCTCTGGAAAGGGGATGTTAATTTTGAGATTCATTTCCATAAAATCATCTGTAGGAAAAATGCCCACAAAGACAAAGCAAATGATAGCATGGTCAATTGAGACCATGACATTCACTGACAGAATTAAGAACAGTTATTGATCACATGCAGAGCCATTCTGGAAACACACCTAAAAGCCCAGACCTCCTTCACATTTTTCTCCCAGTGACTCACTAGAAAACAGACAAACTGGCAGCTTAATTCTTGGGGTCCAGATAGGAAAAAGAATGTAAATGGTCATCTTTTAAATAACAGGAGAAACATTAAAAGGCTATATATGTATCCAAAGTGAACAGAAGTGATGGAGACACAGATAACTGGGTAGAATACTTTAGAATTTTAAAAAATAAACAAGAAAGGAAGCATTGGGTATTGAATTCCCAAGCTCACCAACTTCGTGGCAGGAATGTCAACACTCCACCTTTTACTGCTTTCACCACGTTACCCCTGAGCATAAATACGGATACTGGCCTTTCAGCTAAGCACAGACATCACAACAACATGTCATTCCCGCATGTCCTTCGGGTTCAGGGGCTGGTTCTCCTTTTCTACCATCATGTCAAGGAGTTGTCACTGTGTGACTCATGGTATGAATACCCTTTCTGGGGCTCACCTCTAAAGCTCTTTTCCTTTTGCCCTGGGTCACAGCTTCTAAGCTCTCTTTCCGTAATGACTAATAAATAAAAGGGACAGGGTGAGGGGTCGTCTGAAGCACTGCCACCGTGCCAAACCCCAGATGCTGATACTCATTTCTGCATATATCTTACATTCAGCCACTCACTTGAGCTTCTTGAAGGCCTCCCTGCCACCAGCCACGTACTGCTCCCCGCTCTGGAGCTCGTCCAGCTGCCGGACACGATGCCCACCCCGGGGGGTATAGATGTTCCGCACCGCTCCAAAGGGCGCCTGCACCCCGCCCGTCACCTCTTTCAGGAACACATCGAAGTTGGACACTTTTTTCTCGTGGATGACAATGCGGCGCCCCGGGAAGAAAGGGTCCCCGTTGCGATACACCAGCACGCTCTTCACGCTCGGCTGCGACAGCCACGACGCCTTTGTGCCAGGGCTGGCCATGCTGCTGGCTCCGTGCGCCCTGTGCCGCCCCAGCCGCCCGCACCTGTGTGCTGGGGAGCGCTCCCGCCGGGGAAACCCCTCTGGCCCTGACGCCGCCCACACGGGCACACGGGCACACCTCCCGGGAGCGACCGCGGCCCGCCGGGGCCTGGCACGGCCCCGCGCAGCCTGTACACAGCGGCTCCTCCCCGGCAACCAGCGCCGTGCTCCGGGAGCCGGGTGTGGGAACGCCAAGCCAGGCGGAGCACTCGGGTGTTCCCGAGCCGGGACACGGACTGCCGGGGACCGAGCCTCGGGCCCCTTCATCCTCCGGCTCTACCATGACGGGAAGCCCTGCCGCCCGGCTTTCCTCGGGAAACTTGACCCCGCGTGTGCTCGGCCTCCCCGTCCGGCTGCCAGGCGGGAGCCTGCCCGGCCCGGAGCCCCCGGGGAAGGAGGGAGAGGGGCGGCATGCCCAGAGGAGGCAGAGGGGCGCGGGGGCAGAGGGAACAGGATCCGAACGAGGGAGGCAGGGAAATCCCCGCTCTGCCTCCTCCTGCCCGACCGCTGCCCGCTCCCCCAAGGGCCGGGCCGGCGGCCGAGCTGCCCTGGCGGCGCAGCGCCCGCACCGCGCTCCGGCACACCCTGGGGACAAGAAGCCGTAAAACCTGAGAGAAAGTAAAATAGAAGCGCCTTCAATTCAAATGTAATTCCTTTAATCAACCTCTTTCCCCCGCCGATAGCCTCGAGTCTAAAAATGCACTAGACCTTCCTACCTGAATTTTTGTAGTGTACAGTAATGATTGTCTTTTCAAATGGGTTTTTAACACGCGGGATGGAAAGAATTTTCTTTCCTTTTATCTTAGCTCTCCTTTGATGGGAAAATTACCCCCCTGCTGTGAGTTACAAAAGAGCAGTTAACCATTACAAAAAGAACAATTTCAGGGTGAGGGCAGTCAAACATGCTACTGTTATTGGTTAACAGCTAATGTTCCCCACTCGCTGCGGGTCTCCTTCTGACTAATAACGGGGAGAACCAAGCATTTACCATCCTCGAAGTAATGCTGTTTAACATTGAACTACTGTAACCTGGAAGGAAATTTTTGTTATCAAAGATATGCTTTTGAGTAAAAACTAAAAATGTTGATGCCCCTCACACTGCTCTGCATTCAAGTAGTGATATGTCAACTATCTGCTATTTTATACCAGATTCTACCACATTCAGTGATCTTAGGTCCAATTAGTAGTCACACAACATCTTTGACATAGGAGCAAGACAATGAATATTTTATTGGTGCACCCATTTTGACGCTTTTGATACTTCAAAATACTGTTGGTCTTTACCTATGGCCACAGTAGTTGCAATCACTTTATGGATTGCAAAAAAATATCCCTTAAATGGTACCAGAGCATTGCTAGCCTTAAAACAGCCTAAAATTGATGGACAAAATCTTTGGTTTCCATCTCACCTAAGTACAATGACTGACCAAAAGCTAAGTAAAGGTCCATAATAGCAGTGCCTTGAACCATGACAATTTGTTCCTCCTAGCTTTTCCAAGGTCTGACCTTTTATTCCCACTATTGTTTCACCTTGTATGCAATCTCCTATCGCATTCTCAACAGCAAGGAGTCAAGCTGCTGAACCCACTGGCATGAGTAAGATAAATGCAGAGACACATAATCTCTTTATGATGGAGCAACACCAGGCCTCTCATCTTACATGAGGTTGGTGCATGACATGAAGTCTGTCAGGTCCTGTGTCAGGATCCCCTGAGGTCACACAAGGAGCATAACGTACTGTAATGCTGGGAGATGTGATGAGAGCAGAGCCATGGCATAGTGTAACATCAAACAGGGGCACTTTTTGTGCACCAGATTGCCGTGAGGTCTCTGCCATTTCAGAACCACGAAAGATTTTGCAGCTTTTTACAGGGCCTTGGCAGCTATGCTCAGAGATAGCAAAACATGAAGTTATGAAGACAGAAATGTGCTAGTGCTGAAGAAAAGACCAACAAAATGGACAGAATGGAAAAGGATGATGTTTCTAAACACAGAATAAAATTCAGCTTATTCTATTGCACACGGTGCTGAGAATCACACTTAATAACTCTGTGCAGCTTATCAGAAAATCAGACTAAGCCATAGCAGCTACTTTATTCCCAGCTGTAAGTCTGGAGTAGCCAGACTGTCTGCACTGGCAGTTTTAAGCACATAAATACCAAGTGGTTCAGCTCACATGCACACACTAGAAGTAAAATACCGATGCAGTTGTAAATTTTAAAGCCCATGTTGTAGCAAATACATTTACTTGTTCAATTGCCAGATCAAAAATTCCTTTGAATACCATGATCAAGTATTTTTGCTTTAAAAAATACCTTAGACAATCAGAGTTTAAGCCACAGCTTTTGACTAAACAGGTCCTGTCCAACAGTATTCTTGAGGCAGCCAAGATGCTGAAGGATTACATAGGGAAAAGGCTTTAGCAAACCTTTAGAGGAACAAAAGGAAATGGTTTTCCATGGAAAAACAAATTCCAGTGGGTTACCTTAAGTAAGGAAAAGGTTGAAAGATAACTTCCATGTGGTCTTGGTATAGAGTAATGAGAGTGAAGTCACCCTCCTTAGGCAAAGATTTCTCAGTGTGTTGCTGTAGCTACCTTTGATCAAGTAACCCGAGATTATCAATTGGGTATTCCTGATTCATTCATGTGAGAGCAATTACTGTAAAGATGAGTGGGGCTTTTTGGCAATTTTTCTATGGCATCTTTTCTATCTCTCTCTTGTGCAGCATTCAACATCCACTAAACACTTACGTACTGTCTGGTAGCACTTGTAGAATTTTTTGTTAATGTTAATCTGGCTTTATATTTGTTGTCCTGTTTCTATTTTTTTTAATGTGAATAAAATTGCACATTTGTTTTAGGAGAAGAAACAGGTCATAGGTACAGGCACATATTTGTATATAAAATAAATTGATCAAATGGACAAGTTATACACTGAGAATTGTCTGTAGTCCAAGATGTCTTTTTACCATAATTTTACCCAAAAGTTCTCTGAGCTTTTCTTCAGCAGAGATTTATAAGGACCCTTCTGATGATACCTGTGTTTTTCTTCTCTTTCTGTGTGTTTTTCCTTGGTGTTTCCTTGGTGTTTCTTTGCACAAAGCCCGGCTGCAATCGGAGCAGTCCCCTGTCTGACATTCAGCTGGCAGTGCAACTAGTTGCTCGTGTCATTCAACCTCACAAATAGCTTCTGGTTTGGATGGCAATTTCATGATTAAGCAAGCCTGTGCTGGAGCTATCCTTTCTTCTTGGCTGAACGAAGAACAGCCATCATGCCTGTCCTTGTCAGTGACAAACAGCAGATGAGCTTGGCCCACTATTTCTTTGATGAGATTCAGCAAACAGCTCCCAAAGGTCGGCGCTGCAGGATGGATACCTGACAGCAGAATCAACAAGCATCTTGTTGGTATTTAGAGCTGCAATAAATAGATGCCAATTCTAGATCTCCAGTTATCTTCTGCCAGCAGCAGTGTGAAGTCAGACATTGTGTGTGCTTTATGACTTGTCCCGGGCTGCCAGTGCACATCCATGTGCTGCCTTCACCTCTGAAGACAGAGGTGACACTTGGCTATTGTCTGCTCTTCCAGACAGTCACAGTGGTGGCTGATAATGCAGCTGTGATGAGACACAATGCCAGTGCTTACCTGTACTTTGGCCTGTTGGATTGTACAGTGCAGAGTCTGTAACAGTAGAGATTCAGTGAGAAGTTACATCATCTTATTTCCAATACTTCTGTTGTCTTAGCAGCCAGAAAAACAGATGAGCAAAGGAAAACAAATAGATCAACCCAGCAGCTTTTCCCTTTCTATTGAAGAGTGTGAAATGTCAGCTGTGTAAGACTTACTGCACATTCATAAAATGTGAATTTCTGGCAGATATCCTTTAGAGGCTTCCCTAGTTTTTGCATTCCAACATGCAGAGTCAACATAAGCTGCCATTAATTTTCAGCAATAGTGTGCGCTGTTTTCCTGCCTTCCTGAGGTATTTTCTGTGCTGTCTGCTATTTACAAATTTTAAGTATCTCTGACATCCTAGAGTTTAAATTAGTGTTGCTCATACTGCCACCTGCTGAGATGAACCAAAACTAGAGCTAAAATATTCCATTTAGAGTAGATTTCAGCTTTTTCAAGTATGAATAGGGACAACATTTGCAGACAGGTGTGGTTACCCTTTAACTGAAAACATCTGATTGCTTCAGTCTACATATCCATGCTGTCCATAACTACTGAGGAACTTTTTCATTGAATTACTTCCTTGTAAGGTCGGTCACCCTTATGCAAGGTGTGTGTAAACCATCCTTCAGATTCTGTGCATGTCAATCCACTTGGAACAGAGGCTCATCTATGTATGTTAATGTATGTATGTACACACAAACATACAAATGCATGGGTCATCTGCTGCAGGAAAGAAAAGGAGTAAATATAGTGTTATAAATATTCTGATAATATAATTGATTTAACCATATAAAAGAGTTATGATTACAGCTAGAAAAAAGCAAAGTATAAGGTACAGCAATGTTAGGAGTGCTGTGTTTAAAATGTGCAGCCACAGAAACTTCACCAAGAAGTCACTCGATTTCTTATGTTTTGTTCAAGAAACTGTGGAGACCATCATGCAAACCAGTTACACTGCTTGGAAGCGTCATACCCTTCCCATCTTGATTTGAGTGTTAAGGATTCCTTTCAGTAGAGCTCAGCAGAGATGATCAATGATTGTCTTAGAGTAGGAATATTAATGAAGTTATATAACTAGCAAAACCAATTATTGTAAAGGTTAAATTTAAGAGTGGACGTATTATGCATAGTACATAAAACAACTTATGTAACGATGACTTGGCAAAAAAAGTACATAAAATGGATGAATTTTGTTTACTAAGTGGAACACATTTGAAGGAGTATTCCTGTGTTCCAAGCACCAAAAAAAAAGAAGTGTCTGCTTATTCACATCAAATTGGTGTTGG